CACTGAATATTGCTCACAGCTGAACAATAAAAAACAGTGATGTCTTTCCTCTAGTTGATTTGTGGTTTGGGTATAGAATTCTAGATTGGAACTAATTTTTCTTCAGAATTTTGAAGACATTTTTCACTTTACTCATTTCCAGTATTGACATAAAGAAGTCTGATACCATTCTGTTTCTGATTATTTGTACAACCTGAGTTGTCTCTCTGAAAGCTTTTAAGGTATTCTCTTTGTCTTCAGAGGCTGAGATTTTACAAAAATGTGGCAACATATGGGCCTTTTTTTATTGGGCTGTTCTCTTGTTGGGTCCTTTTGGCTTAAAGGCTCATGTCCTTCAGTTCTGCAATATTATCTCTTAATATTTCTCTGATGTTTCTTCTTGTCTGTTCTTTCTTCTCTCTGAAACTCCAGTTATTTTGACGGGTTGATATTCTTCTTTTTCCTTTAGCCTTGTCTAATAGGTTTCCTCAACTTAATCTGTCAACCTCTCGAACTTCTTAGGCTAATGTAGCAAGAACAAGGGCTCTGTCTTAATTCCTTAATGTTCCTTTTTTATGTCATCCTATTCTTGTTTCATAGGTACAGTAGCTTTACTCTCTATGGATATTCATTTTTAAAAATATTTTCTCCTGGGGCACCTAGCTTGTAGTCGGTAGAGCAGACGATGCTTGATCTTGAGGTTGTGAGTTTGAGCACCAGGTTAGGCATAGAGATTACTTAAAAAAATAAAGTATAAACCAGTCACTTTAAAAAAATAGTAAAAATACTGTCTTTGACTTCTTGCTTTGTCTCTTCCTCAAAGTTTCCTTTTTCCTTTTTTGCTCTGTCTTCCATGTTAAGGATTGTTTCTTCTGACAGTTCTTTTTTTTTTTTATTTAAAGATTTTTATTAATTCATTTGATAGAGGCACAGAGAGAGAGGAAACACAAGCAGGGGGAGTGGAAGAGGGAGAAGCAGGCTTCCCGCTGAGCAGGGAGCCCAATTCGGGGCTTGATCCCAGGACCCTAGGATCATGACCTGAGCCAAAGGCAGTCACTCAATGACTGAGCCACCCAGGTGCCCCCTGACAGTCCATTTTTAAGTGTAGGGCACAGAGAGGTTCATTGGAAGCTGTGCTGTGTGGTTGGGGCTTGTTTACTAGTGGGTCTCACTGGTGTTTAAAGAATTTGTCTTGTTGACCCTTCCCTCCACTTCCCAGTGTCAGTATCTGAAGTCTTTCTTACTGGGGAGCTGGACAGTTTCCAAGTAATTTTCTAACTTCCTGCCTGCAGAATGTAAGCGTTATATGATTAGACTTAGAGACAAGCAGAGGAGATGGGTAAGAGTCTGACACTTTGGTGTGCAGACTTTCATTCCGTCCACTCATAGTGGACGTCCCCAAGTCCAGAGCTTCTGTGGTTCTCTGGTGAGAGTAAACTTCTTGTCTTTGATGTAGTGAGAGGCATACTCGCATACTCTTCCATCAGTCAAGTCTAGGAAAGGAGATGGGAGGGCAGGGGGGAGCTAACCGCTTTTAGGTACACCTTCAGTGAGTCCTCCTGTTTTTTGCCCCTGTTGCCCACATTGGCACTTTGAGGATTCTCTCACCTTCCCAGGGTTCTTATTCTCAGCAGGAGTTTCCCCAGTGTTGTGTTGTGTGCTCCCTGCAGAGTTTAGGTTTCAGCTTTCTCCGCTAGGTCAGTTACCCTTCTTCATTTATTTTTTTTTTTTCTTTTTAAGATTTTATCTATTTATTTTGACAGACAGAGATCACAAGTAGGCAGAGAAGCAGAGAGAGAGAGAGGACGAAGCAGGCTCCCTGCAGAGCAGAGAGCCCGATGCGGGGCTCGATCCCAGGACCCTGGAATCACGACCCGAGCCGAAGGCAGAGGCTTAACCCACTGAGCCACCCAGGCGCCCCTCATTTATTTTTTAATGTCCAAATTTTGATTGACTTCTCTTGCCTGGAGACTTCTCTTTTGTTAACATATATCCTTTATTGTCATTTTTAGTAGGGTTTCAGGACAAAGCTAAGATAAAAATGTATATCCATTGATGAGGTTCAAGGTTTAGGACATGCTGCCCCAAAATATGACACCTTGGCAGTATTGAGTATCTTAAGCTGAAGGAGCTCAAGAAAATGGCAGAAGCAGGAAGGTCACTCTCACCGTCTGCTCCCATCTCCCCTTGCCCTCTTTTCTCAAAGCCTGGTGCTTAATCTCCCATGTGAAAGGTACCCTCCCTGTATCAGGAGGAGGGGAGACATCCTTATCACCAGAGAGGCTGTAAAAACAAACCTTCTTACTTTTCCACCATTTATTGCCCCCCACTCCCAGTTCAAACTCCTTTGTCTTATCAGTTCTTCAAAAATGTCTCAAAAGTTTCCTGCTATAATCACTTCTTTAGGTCTACTTTCTCTTCTGAAGGCTCCCATGTACATGTGAAAAGTTAATAGAATTTGTATGCTTTTTCCTGTGTATCTCTTTTTATCAGTGTAATTTTCCCTGTTTTTTAAAATACTTTATTTATTTTGAAAGAAAAAGAGAGAGGGAGAGATGGCGGGGCTCAGTCCCACAACCCTGAGTTCATGAACTGAACCAAAATCAAGAGTCAGACAGTCAACTGACTGAGCCCCCCAGGCACCCTTTATCAGTGTAATTTTCAGACCTAGTCAGGGACCCCAGGAGGGTCAGAGTTAACTTTTTCCTCCCTGACCCTATCAGGTTGAACAAGCAGCACCACACTGCTTTTTTATTGTACAGAGCTCTTAAAGAAGTTTCTGTAAGTAAGTTATCCCAGCGGTGTGGGTTTCTCACAGAAATCTTCTGTTGCAGTTACGCAGGTTGGAAATTGACACAGCTGATGGTGGGTGGTCATTTTGTGTGTCCTCTACATCTAGAGAGGAATATAAAATAGTTTTTACCACACTGTAAGTAGGTGAAGGCTCATGCTACAGTTTGAACTTAAGATTTACAAAAAGAGGACTGCCATTTGGTGGGCAGTGCTGATTGAGCTCTCAGAACAATGAGACAGTTATTTGGAGGAAAAGCATGGTGGTAAAACTCGTAGTGGAGTAGAAGCGGGTGTTGGAGAAGTGGCAGTTTATTTGCTTGCCGGACAGAGTCGATCCTGAAGTAGGAGGGTGATGTTGCCCAGTCAAGATGCAGGTCTATTTTCTAAAATTGCGTTTAGCTTGGATGGATGTGTACATTTAATATGGAAGATTTCTGTCTTCATCTCCTAAAGCTATAGTGGAATATCTGTTCATATTATAACTTATTGTGTCATAAAAATTCAGAAATAGAGTTCTTTGGAACTATGATCCTAAAATTTACCTTATTTCACCTTGTCCCAGATTAACTCAGTCGACCATTATTCACTTCAATTCCACAAACATTTACTAGGTACTTGCCGGAGAGTGGGAAGGTGAAGAAAGACTAAATTTGGTCCCTGTCTTCCAGGATTTTATAGTCTAATGAGACACTTGAAAACAACTAACCAAGGAGAACACAGTCACAACGATTAGGAGGTTATTTGGGGAACAAAGAGAAAGAAGCCTTATTATGATATGAGAGGGAACTAGGAGAGGCCTTCAGGATGAAGTCACACCTAGATTCAGAAGCTCCCTTTAGCGTGTAGCACGATTAGGGGGCATCGAGTGTGAATAGGAATTCATGGAAGGTTGTGGTGGGCTATAGGGCTAGAATGTCAGTTTCAGGAGTTTGGACTATATTCAGTAGGCAGTGGGAATCATCGCATGATCGGGTGGTGGATAGATCTAACCCTGTAAGCGAAAAAATTCAAGGAGTCAAGACAGCTAGATTCCCGAGGCATCTGCTCAGAGAGTCTTGACAGACGTCAGAGAGGCTGATCGAAACCACTGTGATGGTGCTGCAGTGTGGGAGCGCAACGAGTGACAGCCCTGTGGACTGCAGTGGCTTGTCAGAAGAGCCTGAGCTAGGCCTCGAAGGGGGAGCATGAGTCCACACAAATCACCTCTTTTGTGAACTTGAATTTAAAAGTAGTTTTATCCCATAATAAATCTCAGGGTTGATGTGACCAAAGAAGCAAGCCAACCCTTTCTTGACTTTTATGTTGACCAAATAAAAGTTGATTAAATGAAGTGCAGTCTTGTTTCCTGAGACCTGGTTCTTTCATGTATAAAATAAAGATCATCTCCAAGTTTAAGGGCCAGCATGTCGGCAAGTAAGCCCTATAGTCATCAGAGATACAAAACAATGTAATGTAAGATATGAAAAGTGGGCCTGAAATGCCAGCCAGAGAAGGAGGAGTTGCAGAAATGAGGACTTGTAGGCCTTTAGCAGAATGTAGGGCAGTAAAGAAAGAACTAGTAGATAAAGATGAAGAAATAATGATGTATAATATCAGGAAAGTGACACAGAAGAAGGTAAAAGACTCTTCTACAGAGAATAAGTGGGGTAGTAAGCTAAATTGCACAGCTGGAGTGGAGAAATGAGGAGAGTGATGAAGGGGGAAAGATAACACCCCAGTTGGCAGGACGGACCACGCTCTGAAAGCCTAAGCAAGCCGTGAGCATGTTTGCATTCACTTTTCCCCAAGGAATGTAGTTAGTGTGTCTCAGCTACAACATTTTTATACTGCTCATTGGGTGAGATTTTATAAATTCTGAAGTGAGCTAATTATCGAGTTTGACAGTATGCCTTGGTTATCAGTTCTGACATGAAAATGTTTTGTTTGAAAAAAGGGAAAAAGCCAATCAGGGTGTCAAAACAATCATCTTCACGGAATTAAATGCTGTGGAGTAATTCAGACTGTAGTTTATTTTATAAAATCAGTGTGGAAATGAAATAAGATTGTTGCTATCAAAAGTAAAAAATATATTCTACAATATTTAATCAGTGTGGTAACTTTTAAGTCAGATGACTATATTTTATGTCTTTAACAAAGTCTCAAGCTAATCTTTTAGAAGATGACTAATGAGGGAGCAAGGCAAGTGCATAATAAATTTTAACACAGCTAATCATTTTTATATTATGCAGTTGGCTGGGGAGCAGACCAGGGAATTGGTGGATTCGGAGAGGAGCCAGGAATTAAATCTCAGCTAATGAACCTTATTCGATCTGTAAGAACTGTGATGAGAGGTAAGAAGAAAAACTAGTGATACACTCTTTTAAGTTTTAATTTTGTGGTGTTTAAGTAGCAAAGCTTCTGAGTGTGAATACTATCACACCACTTTTGTAGTGAAGTTTTTTTCTGTTCAACCTGGGTTTACTGTAGAAGTTACTGATTTTCTTTTTTAGTTTTGCCTCTTACTTCCGTCTAAACCACTTGATGCGAACGGAATGCTCAATGGTATATCTGTTCATGTGTTGCCTCTCAGACTTCAAAGCAGTGTTCTTACGTTTTGAAATTTATGTTGCTTCAAGTAGTGACATCATCTAGAGTCCTAGAAGGCTTTTGAGAGGAAAATAAAGGTCCCATATCTGCCAGTCTATTGGATATTATTTTAAAGATTTTATTTTTTTGTCAGAGAGAGCACAAGCAGGGGGAACAGCAGGCAGAGAGAGAAGCAGGTTCCCCGCTAAGCAAGAAGCCCGACGTGGGACTCGATCCACGTCAGCTGAAGGCAGATGCTTAACTGACTGAGCCACTCTGGCATCTCTATTGGATAGTATTTTAGAGCAACTGGAGAGAGAAGGGTTCAAAATTTCTACTTAAAACCATTAAAATTAGGGTTTCTCTGTGTCTCCCTCTTTGTTAGGTCTTTTGATCACAATTTTGGATAGAATGGTAAATAAGTTCACTCTCAATTTAGTGGTGAAACTGTGGAATCTTCTTTGTTCTTTTTTTTTTTTTTTAAAAATTTTTTTTTTTTTTTTTTTTTAATTTACTTGACAGACAGAGATCACAAGTAGGCAGAGAGGCAGGCAGACAGAGAGGAGGAAGCAAGCTCCCTGCTCAGCAGGATGCGGGGCCCGATCCCAGGACCCTGAGATCGTAACCTGAGCGGAAGGCAGATGCTTTATCCCACTGAATGACCCAGGCGCCCCATTCTTTGTTCTTTATTTCTTATGTCAAGTGTCACAGCCATATGGGTCTGCTTTTGCCTGGGCCTGGTGTGCTTCTGTGTTCCCAGCCCTGCACTAGCACCATTCACATATGTCCCATATTGATCTAGTTGTACCAGTGACCCTTACCGCAGTCACACAAGCCCTCTTTAAAATAAATTTTGGATTTTATGATCCAGTACATGTTCCTTTGTTACAACAATTTGCCACATGGTTATGAATGACATATTGTTTGATATTTTCATCCTTCCTGGATGCTAATAACTATTACTTAGTTTTTCCTGTTATTTTCTTTATAGTAACAAACTTTTTTTTTTTTCTTTACAGTGCCATTGATAATCATAAACTCAGTTGCCATTGTATTACTTTTATTATTTGGGTGAAGAACAGTGGGGGAAATGGAGACTCAGAAGAAGAGATGCCAGCAGAAATTATTACTTCGGTCATTATTGGAATATACATGTTATCGCCGGTTGTCCTTGCACTTGACAAAAATGTAAATCTGACAATAAAACCAGAGTCCCTATTTATCTGATTTTTAAAAAAATGTTGCACTTACAGTTTCATTACAAAAGGTTTAGGTCATCAGAGGCAGTAACTATCCAGAACTGGAATACATTTGATTGCTAATTGTTAATAAAAGTTCATCCTATGGTAAAGATTGTTCAGAGGGTATAGGACTGTCACTTGTGTGTTTTTAGAGATTTTTCTCTCTCACTTCTTTCTCAGGGATAAATTTTTTTTCAAAGTTTTGAAGTTCTTTGTGACTTAGCTATGATGTGAGAGTGATTATCTTCCTAGATAAATTTAAAGGATTTTTTTTAAAAGCAGTTACTACATATAAAATGGTAAGTCAGTAATTTGGATAGTTTTACTTTGAACTCTTTATTTTGTCTATGTATCATTTCGACTATGACAAGTTCAAATTTATAGCAACTATGAGCAATACTCTCTGACTTCAGGGAGATTTCTAATTTTGTAAGTCAGTCACATAGGTTGTGTTTTTAAGTTCTTTCATGTGTTTGTTATTTTATTAATTGGCCTGAATGATGAGGTCAGATCACTACGTATTTCCATTGGTAGAAAAATCTGTGTAGAAAAGTCTATGCCCTTTTTACAATAATATTTTATTTTTTAAAATCAGCCTAAATATTAGCCTGCAAGAGCTATCCTAAACAGTCACAATTAAACTGTGCTATGTAAGAAGACTATTGTGAAGCATTTACCTCTCCCCCAGATTATGACATTTCCATTTTCTGGAGTAGCACGTTAAGGGGTATAATTCTTAATTTTTTTATTCTGTCAGTAGAGATTCACGTTAGATAAGTTTTCGTTTTGTTTTTATATTCTTAGACCATTCCATATTTGCTCATCCCATAATACAGTTTATGCAGGAAGATTAAAATTATGTAACTTTTTTTTCTGAAAACTACCAGTTATAATAGTTTAAAGGAATAGATTGGCATCTTTGTTTATAGGAGAACATTTGTAAATAAAGTTAAATTTCCAAGTCAAGTACTTGTTTTTGTACCTTACCTGTCAGTGTTAATTGAATTAATCTCATTTCTTTGCTATAAAATCACAGAGCACAAATTTAATGAAAGTAAACATTACAGTCACTTTTTTCCTTCAGTGAGTTAACTGAATTGCTGATTACATCAAGGAGACTCAAGAGCAACTTTTATTCCATGACTACGGTTACTTCTAAAACTTTGGAGCAGGTACTGAATGCCTATTGGCCATGCCTGAATTAGAAATAGATGATCTCTGGGCTGCAGGCTTGCAGCTGAACCAAAGAGATGTACCAGGGATTCTTAGTTGATTATCTGGCTCATGTGAGTAACTAACATATTTGGCAGCTAGAAGCAGTGTTCTTGTGGCCTTACAAAGATCCGATTCATGCGTCCAAGTTTAAGTCACTGAACAGGTTCAATACGTGCAGTTAATTGAGAGCACTCCCATTTCTCCACAGATCATACAGAATTTTTAAAGGAAAGAAAAGAGACCTTGGCCTGATGCCATTTTCTTGTAAAACTTCACAGCACACCTTCATGCTCATTTAGTGGCAGGATACTGTCCGAGTTCGGACTCCAGTGGAGAGCAGTCGTAGCATGGCAGGATCAGAGTATTGTGTAGCAAAGTGGGTCTGAGGAAACTGAGCACTGAATCTCAAAATCTGTCATCTCTAGAGGCCACTTAACACAATGCTAGCTTCAGTGTGCCTGAAGGGAGGCCTGAAGATCTGTAAGCTTCCACAAGTTAGCGCTGATGTCCCCAGAGCAGAGATTGGATAACCACGGTATCTTACTTAGTTGACAGTAACTTCAGTGTCTGCTTGCCTGCCCACATCCTCCCCCATAGCCATTCTCGTTAACAATTGGTGATCATTCTAGATTCCAAATATCCATGATGTTTATGGTCCTAATGTGTGCTGACCTTGTGTCTATATGCCTCTGACCTATCTCATGAAGGATCTTGGCTCAAGTGTAGATATTAACCAAATGTATACCCTGATCTTTAGTTAAATACAGTGGTTTTCAAGTATTGATTGTTTATGGTAGAACCAGATTTCAAAAGGGATAACACAGAACTATAATGCCCCACTATTTGAAACATGATAGCAGTCTACTTATTTCTAGTTGAAACAGGGATGCAAAGGCCCATTGTTTAACCTCCACCCCACTCTTGTTATCCTTTCTAAGGTCCTTCCACAAAACTCCAAGTTTTTGAAAACATAGTTAAAATGAGTATCTTAAAAAAAAAAAAAAAACCCTGCTTTAGAGGAGGAAGTGTGAACTGTGGTCTACTGGTATATGCTATCACTTGAGTGTATATGTACTCATATCAAGGGACTTGAGAGAAAGCAATATATTTGAGTAGTAAAAAGAGTGGGAGGCAGGATATTTGTAACATGCCGAGCAAAACCTTTTATCGTGACTTAAGACAAACTTCCTAAGACCTCAGTTGTTTTCTGTTGTTTCATCTGTAAAACTGGTCAAGAATTATTTCAGAACAGAAATCTGCTCCAGGTGATTTATATATTTATACCTTTTCCAGGTCACTAACCTTTGATGCTAGGTTTACCTCAACCAAAGAGATGTTCTCCTAAAGTAAATGTTTTCAGTGAAATAAATTGCTTTCTCGGTGCCTCATAGTTTCAAAGTTATTACCAATAAAATTTTGATACTAAGCAAAATGGGATTATTTTTTGCTGAAATTTTTCTTGGCCCCTGATTGGTCGTTAGATGCCAGATATTGTGAAAACATTCTGTGCAAGGACTTCAGACGCATAATGGCCAGTGTCCAAGGGTGAGTTTTGGAATCCTGCTGTTTTTCAGTTCTGACACTGCTTTCTTTACTCCCCCTTTGTGTTTTAGTACCATCTTTATCTTTTCCAAATTCAGCCCCTCCTTTTTCCTTTTTTGTCAATAACTGAAAAATTTTTTTTCAGTATTGAAGTATAGTTGGTGTGTAATGTTAATTTCAGGTGTATAACATAATGATTTGACAGTTCTATACATTATGCAATGCTCACTCCATGAGTTTAGTCACCATCTGTTTAGACATCCCATCCCTCGTTACTCATCTTGGCCTTTGGCAAGCAAAATCACTCGAGTCTTTCAAGAAGGAAGCCATTAGTCCTGTTTAATCATGCCACATTATAGTCACTGACACCATCACTTACACTACCAAACTGCCCAAGCCTAAAACTCAGTAGTTACCTTTTTTTTAAAATTATTTATTTCACAATAAATAAATTTTTTATTTAATTATTTATTTCACAGCGAGAGAGTGAACACAAGCAGGGTGAGTGGGAGAGGGAGAAGCAGGCTTCCCGCTGAGCAGGGAGCCCGATGGGCTCGATCCCAGGACTCTGGGGTCATGACCTGAGCTGAAGGCAGGTGCTTAACAACTGAGCCCTCCAGGTGCCCCCTTAGTAGTTATCTTGATGCCCACCTCTCCCTTACCAATTTAATCTCTAACCATTTCTATTTTACCTCCTAAGATCTCTTGAATTTGTCTGCTTTGTTTCCCCACAATTTAGTGCAAGCATTGCTCTTGTAGCCCTGCAGTAGCTTACCTGGTCTCATGTACAATTTGGTCCCTCTCCCATCCATTCGCCATACTGCAGCCAGAGTATTTAGGAAAATGCAAGTCTTAACATTACGCACTTGCTTAAAATCCTTCAGTGCTGTTTTAGTTCGCAGCTCTTAGTTCTGAAGGGGAAACTAGGAGCAGATTCCTTTTCCTTTAACCAAGTATGCCCTTACATAGAAAATAGACTTAACAAATATGAGTAAAACAAAAACAACCTTCAGACCGAGTGGGGAGGAAAAGTAGAGGGTCGCTAGTCCAGAAGAAAGTGTTCTAGCTCACAACATAGCAGGCTGCAGCACTGGGCAGAGGGCGTGTTGGATGGGTTCTGGCAGCACCCAGGCAAGGAGTTCCATATGTGCAAACCAGAGTGTGTATCCTACTAAGTCAGACTGCTCCAGAAAGTTTTTCATTTAGTCGTTTTCATAGAGAATGCATAAGATGACCACATCTGCACTCAAGTTTTACTTATTTAAAGGCAGCCAATGTGGATCAGAGACTCCCAGTAGGTGCGTGGGAGAGGAGCAGTGAGGGAGATGGTTACACGCACAAGATTCTGCTCCACTAGGGACGACAGGCAAGGCCTGGGGTTGGTCTCTAATGACAGGCAGGATGGGAGAGTTGGCAGCTTAAGGTTTTGGAACAGCTGATGTAGGAAAAGAGGAACCTCGTTGCCTGAGGTAGGGGTTAACACAGCTACAAATGCCAGATGCTATTAAAGTAGCAAAGCATAAAATGACTTAAGAGATCGGGTATTTCACAGAAAGCATCACGGAGTTAACTTCCAAGTTACACCTCGAGAATGGGCATGAAGCGGTGCAGCGAGGGAGGGTGGCAGCAAAGAAAGGTACTCAGTACTTGGTTCACCAATGGGGCTGCAGAAGGGTAAAGAGCTGCTGAGCGAAGACAGAGGTTTCGTTTATCCTCCTACACCTGGGGCTAAGCAGGCCGTGCCCTTCAGGGAGCGGGTCTTAAGAACAATTTTTACACCTCAAATGTGGCAAGGAGTAAACCTACACTCTAGAGTGAGGGCCCGCAACCCGGAAGCAGCCGGGGCGGATGGGGCGGAGTTGGACGGGGGAGAGGCGGGGCTTCCGGTGCGGCTGTCGGCCCAGTTTCCGGCGTCTAGCGGCTGCTTGCCTGCCTGGACTGGTCTCGAGGACGTTGCGGACGGCAGGGCTGTGCTGACTTTCCTGGTAGCGGAGCTTTTGCTGAGGACCGCGTGCGGAGCAGGGGTGAGGAGCCGCTCCGGGACGGGCAACCTCCCACCCGTGCAAAGGCTGCGTTTCTTTGTGAAATGCTGGTTGCGTTTCCAGGCCACCACCCCCTCCTGGGCCGCGGACCAACCCGCGCTCGCGCTCCGAGATGACGGTCCCACCCCTCCGGGCGGGGGCGGTTCCCGTGGCCGCCGGGCCGGCGCGCATGCGCGAAGTGGGGTCCTAGCGCTTTTGTGGGGCCGCGGGGCTTCGGGGCCGTGGTGGTGCGGGGCTCTTCGTAGTCCTGGAGCACATCGCGATTCTGGTGTGGTAGACATCCCACGGGACCTGCCCCCTGGACTGTTTCTCGAAGCTGGTGTCCCTTCCGGTCAGTCTGGCCAGGTCCTGGATTTTGCAGTGGGGCGGAGTGCAGTGACCAGTCCTGAGGCCCTCCATCCGGGAGATGGAGGAGCTCGCAGTTGTTCGTGCTGAAAGACCTTTGTTCCTGGAATCCTCCCAGTCAACTGAGACCGGGATTCATGAATTGGGTTAACTCACAAGCCCATACTGAGCGGTCAGTAGTGCCGCGGAAAAGGCCACAACAGCTCCTTTCCTCAGTGAGCTTAACACTTTGGACCGAGTGATAAGTGGAATAATAGGAGCAAGCTAGGAGCTCCTGGCCCGTCCCTGGGCGAAAAGGAGTTGCACTCGGGAATGCCAGAGGAAAGGATGCTAATCTGAGACCTATGAACTGCAGTTGTCCAGGGGAAAGGAGGATGTAGGTGACAGGTGTGGTAGAAGTCAGAAAACAAAAGGATTTCCAGACAAAAGTCCAGCGATGAGGGAGGTATAGGGCTGGTAGCCGCCTGCAGTGCTGTGGAACTTTGGCGTGGGAGTAGAGGGGAAGGAGTTGGAGAGGTGAACCCAGGGCTCTTCACAGCAAGGTTCATTGTTGAGACTTTACCCTGAGGTCAGTGCTGAGCAACTGGAAGATTTTTTTTTTTTTTTTTTTTTTTTTTAAGATTTACTTATTGACAGAGACGGAGGAGAGGGAACACAAGCAGGGAGAGTGGGAGAGGAGAAGCAGGCATCCCGCGGAGCTGGCAGCCCCGTGTGGGACTGGATCCCAGGACCCTGGGGACCTTGACCTGATCCTGAGGCAGACGCTTAAGGACTGAGCCACCCAGGCGCCCCCAACTGGAAGATTTTTAACTGGATAGTGAC